TAAGCGTAATAATTCATCTGTAAACATAGAAATGTACAGCCAATTTTGAAAAAGATACATCTTAGCTCAGAAAATTGTTACTGAATATGTCAATGCTGTTTAATGAAATGCTTCTTCTAAGTGCTGATCACTTTCTGACAAGTAACAAATAAAGAACTACAGTCAAATCTTCATCCTGTGTTTCCTTAAAGAGTTGTACCGTTGGGTAACTAAATAATAGATTAAAGGAAGGCATTTTTTTGTCCATGTATCTAACTGAATAAAGTAAAATAAGAGGTAGTTAACATATCAGACATTTGGAATACCCAGTAAATTATTGTGCAAAGAAACATAAGTATTCACTATTGCTACAGCAAAAAAAAAAAAAAAAAAAAATTACAGACAAGGTCTATTCGCATAGCTAAAGTATTCTTTTTGTGAAAATCAGATTAAATTCCATAGCTAGTTAGAAAGATGGTTGCCAGGCTGACATCTTTACTCATGCCTATAAGTACCTGTAAGAGCTGTCATTAAATCAGTTCTTTACCTCGTTTCTCTCTTGTGACTACATGTCTGCTGCACTGATTTCCTCTGACAAAGCTTGGCGTGGCTGTGCTCTCTGCCTGAGGTTCTTTCCTTACCTTGTTTCAAGTCTGCACAGTTTTCCCCTCAATGAGCACTATTCAGCCAGCCCATATGAAACTGCATCTAACTCTTCTAAGTCTCCTGCCACAGGCATTCCTTTTCTGGCCCCAGTCTGTGTGGGTCTAAGGCTCTCATCATTATTAATAATTATTAAAATTCTGTTAAGGGTTGTATTCTACCCCACCCCTCAAAGTCCTGTGTCAAAATTCTAACCCTGTCTGCTTTAGAATATGACCTCACTTGGAAAAGAGGTCATTTTAGATGGTATTAGCTAAACTAAGATTATAATAGAATGGAGAGACTCAGTCTAATATGGCTGGCATCTTTAGAAAAGTGACATCTGGACACATCATATGGAGACAAGGGCAGAGACTGGAGTTATGTGGATGCAAGCAGCACCATGGATTGCCAGCGATCTGCAGGAGCTAGGTAGGACACCCTATGGGCTGGAAGCATGACCTTGTAGACACACAGAATTCAGGCATCTAGTTTGTTGACCCCACAAGGCAATGGTATTTCTGTTCCTTTAAGCCACCCAGCTTGGCCATTTTGTTTTAGCAGCCTTAGGAAGCAGTGCCTCTGTCTCCAAAGTTTACTTCTGCAGACTGTTCATTTCTTGTCTATCTCTTGTTACTGGCTTTCTTCCTCCCTAAGGCACGTACCAAATGAGTAGATATTCTTTAGGTTTCTTTCTGGGTTTCCTGATAGAAGCCATTAAGTTGGGATTAATGGTTTTAGAAAGTTCTTATGAATGATAAACTCTTCTGTGGAGATCTGCTTAGTGAGTTAAATGGTCTTTGTCTAGTCATTTCTCCATTGCCCGAGGGCTGATTACATAACTTCGTTTCTATTCTCACCTGGGATCAGACATGATCATTTGATTACATGATTACAACCCAAGCACTAAGGAAAGGCCCTTGGACAGTCCATGTTTTAGTCTGGTTTCTGTTGCTATCGCAGATAATTCCAAAATGGGAGAGCTATAAAGAAATTTAGTCCTCACTGTTGTATAGATTGGAATACAACGCTGGAGTGCTGGTTTCTGGTGAGGGCTTTCACACTGCGGCAGGACAAGGTGGAAGGCACTACGTGGTATGAACACGTGAGAGCAAGAAGACCCAATCAAGGAAGCCAAACTCCCCTTTGCAAACTCACAGTAACTAACCCGCCTCCACAAATAAGAGAGCGTCTTCTCTTAATATTCCACCTCCTAATACTTTTTCAGTGGCCAGTAAATTTCCCTGTGAATTATGAAGGATCCATCCAAACCATAGCAGTAGGCATCTAGCAGGCATCTACTGCCTAGAATAATCTTAACATGAAGTTCCTCATCATTTGATCATTTCAGTTGCTTTTTCTACTTTCCTCTACGTTTTCCTCCTCCACATAGCGTTTTGTTACTGACAGTAACAGGCAAGCAGGAATAATCTAAATAACCACAAAAACTCAATTGAACCTGCTTCCTACATTATTTTGAAATCACTGTTAAAAAGTAATGAGGTTGATTGTCTATGATTTCATCTCCATTACTTTCCCTAGGCCTGGTTTTAGGAGGGTGCTATTGAATAAGTAATCATTTCAGATCCCAGGAGAGAATACAAACAAAGTTATATAATCAGCCCTGGGGCAGTGGAGAAATGACCGAACAAAGATTGTTTAACTCTCTAAGCAGTTCTCCACAGAAGAAATTATCATTCACAATAACTTTCTAAACTCATTAATCCCACCATTAATGGCTTCTATCCAACAACCCATTCAAACTTCTTAATCTTTAATTATTAAGAGCATTCAGTCATTTCTGGTTAGGGAAGATAAATTGCTTCCTTTGAGTTCAATAGTTTCAAGCCTCAAATTAGTTTATTTAGTTTAGCTAAACTCATCAATCAACAGCTATAAGCTCTGAGAAGCTTGGCAGTTATTGTGCAGTTTCTGTTGTTAGGTAGGCTAATAGGATGGAACATCTTCTCATGTATTTATCTTTGTCCTTTACTAGTGAGTTGTTTTTCATTTCAGCTACTGACAGCAAACTTTGAACTGGATTGCCCTGGAGAAAGTGAGAATGCCTACTGCTTTTAAACAGGAGTTCATTCTTTTGTAAAGACTTTTTGTTTTTGGTCTATGATGAGACATTAGTTTGATTTAGCATTGAAAGAGGATTTTCATAATAAAAACCTCATTTCCAAAAGCAAACCTTATTGCTCTGTATACAGCTTTACTGTAAGCCATACACAGTGGAGAGAAGGAAGATATTCACAGGGGATAGCTCATGAGGGAGAAATAAGTGCAAGCCCTTAGTGTTAAAAATGGAGGTGGGGGAGAAAAGTAAAACTAAATTAGGTTTCTTGTTTGTTTGGTACTAATACAAACACATGGAAAAGACTTCATTTAGCTCAGATGGGTTAGAGGGAAACTAAAAGCAGATGGGGCATGTGACTGGAGTCATACTTGAAAATCTAGAAAGGGGTTGGGGAGCCAAATGTTGATGCACAGGTATGTTGGAGATATTGCATAGTGCACATGGCAGACAGAAGACCAGAGGAAGCTCACACTGCTGGTTTCAGGCCTTTGTGACCCAGGTGAACAGTAGTTTCATTAGTTCCTATGAATCCCAGTGACCAAAGTGTCCCAACAGGTCCCAGATTTGGCAGGGGATAAGGTCTGTCACTGCATAGTAAGATCCTAAAAGAAGGTAGATAGCCTAAGCTCAGAATGAAATGCTAAGTGTCACTGAGACTGATCACCAAGTCCAACTCTGATGGCAGAGGTAGAGGATTCAGGGACTGATTTTAAGGCTCTGACTTTGCTAAGGGATCATACTTTACATAGCTTCTGTAACACAAAACCAGACAAGACTGACACTCCTCAGAGCCGTTCAACAGGAGCCAGCAGAGGACATTTCAGGATCTAGCACCATTTCCCCACCGTAGGACACTATGACCACTTCCTCTATTCGTAGACATCTTCTAGGGAAGGAATGTGGGGCAGAAAGAAACCTCTTGTAAAGTTTTTGGACTATTAATTGATTCAACACAAGAACTGCCTGTTACTTTCAAACGTAAGGAGTCTTTTTGCTTTGTTTTGTTTCATTGCTTTTCTTTGGTGATTAACAGGTATCAGTAGAGGAGAATGCTCAAATCAGGTATAAGTACTAAAGATATCAATACTATTTTGGACATCTGAACTGTATGTGCATATATCTTTTTATGGGGGGGGACTTATTCCTGCCTAAAACAAGGCTGGAAATATAGCTCGATGATAAGGCACTTGGTTAGCGTACACAAGGCCTTGAGTTCCATCTCCAGTACTACAAATAAAACCAAGCAACCCAACTGGCACAAATAAAAACTTCAAACAGATAAGGAGTCCCATTTCACTTTAACAAGACAGCATGTGAGATTTAATATGCACATAACTGAAAAAACGTGAAATCTGTTATTTATTTTTATTTTATATTAACCAAAAAACTAATCTTATTACCTGTGAACTCTTAAAATTATTTAATCATATAAATACAGATAATCATTTAGACTTCACATTGTAGCACATAAAGATGTGTATGAAAACACTTATTTGACAATGATTAATGTGATATAAATCTTAAAAGATTTAAAACATTATTTTGATTTGGTAAATTAATTAATTTACCAAAGTAATTAATAATTGTGTATCAGTGGGGAAATTGAGTTAAATTCACAATTTTACCAATTTTCAATACTAGGAGAAAATCATTTGCTTATACATTCACAATCATGATTTAAGTATACATCTGTAACAGAGTTCTGACTTTCTAGGCATATTCAACTTTTTGTTCGTTTGTTTTAGTATTTTGAGACAGGGTCTCCCTGTAGTCCCAGCTTGCCTGGAACTCATAAGTAGACCAAGTTGGCCTCCGTCTTCCAGACATTTGCCTGCCTCTGACTCCCCAGTGCTGGGATTAAAGGCACATGCCACCACATCCGGCATATTTTTGTGTTTTTATTAAAAACATTAAAGAGTCTGTGAAATAGAAATGAAGAGAGCTAGAGAATAGAAATTTCACAAATTATAATTGAAATATTCTTTGGGCAAATTATTTTGTTTCTTATATTTTTGTACAAAAATGCCAAGTTGGTTAGATATAACTTTTATTTTAAACAAATACCATTCAGTTGTATACAGATGACATGGAATGGAAGATAATATAAGTACTTTGTAATAATGAAGTACAGATTGGATTGACATAGACTCTGTATAACTAACTTAATAAATTGTATAACACATTAAAATTATCTTACATACATTGTGAACTGGCATTCAGATCCGGAACGCTTTTATATAAATTAAATTCCATATGTTAACAAAATTTCTGTTTATTACACATACATCATTAGCATGAATATATTTTAAATGATCTCAACATTTATTCTTTCCTTAGTAAACAGTGAGATTTATGACATATGTAGGCAGTGTATAAGGGATCTCAAGTCTGCTTTGATCCCATTATTAAGAAATCCATATAGAATTGGATTAAGACAACAGGACATCATGCCTAACAAATGACAAATGCAGTACACCAGCTTGAAATGCCTATTTGAAATAAGGGTATCATTGAAATCAGTTACCACGTGGAAAACGTGCAGTGGCATCCAGCTAACAGCAAACACTAGTATCAGTATGGTCAGTCTGTAGAAAACACTGCGAGACCTCTTTTTTATTCTGGTGATAGAACGCTTGACTCTCATTTCATGCACATCTGAGTTTTCTTCCGGTTTCACCTCAAAGCAGATTGGGACCCCTGGGATGAACTTACTGGATGAGGAGAGCTGACTTCTGATAGAGCCCAAGTTTTCTGGAACTGTTCTCGAATGGTTCTCTTGAGAAGGTCTTGCTGGAGCAGGTAACACACATGCTGTCTTTTTGCTGTATCTTCTTCTGTGTTTTCTGATGAACGAATAGCTCCACTTTTGGCTGCTGGAGGGTTTTGCCGGGTTCCCACTTTTTTTGGATGGATGGAGAGTTAGGTTGATCATCTCATTTTCTTCTAGTCTGTTTTCTTTGTTGGACAATCCACAGCTTATACTCCTGCAGACACTGGTATGACTTACAGTTAAACAAACTAAAGGCAGAATATACTGAACCAGCAATAGAGAGATTGTGAAAGCAATTCTGTATGAATCAGATGGCCACGACTCAACACACAAATACCTGCTGCTCAGCAACGCTGAGCCAAAGGTTTCCTGAAGTTCTACCAGACTGTGAAACACTGGGAGGGGAGAACAGATTGCAAAACCTAATGTCCAGACAGTAGCTATCAAAAAGTAGCCATGGTTGGCTGTTAAATTGTTAGATATGGGATGCTTTATCATATGATACCTGACGATAGCAATTGATATTAAAATTAAAGTTGAAACCAGAACTGACACACACTGAAGGAAAGGCATAATATGGCACATGGCTTTGCCGAACATCCACTGATCCAACAAGACAGAGGTCAGTGTGAAAGGTGAGCAAAACAGCACCACCAAGATATCGGAGAAGGCCAAGTTTCCTATGAGGAAGTTCACTGTAGTCTTCGGATTTCCCTTTTTGATAACAGCCAGTAAAATAAGTAGATTCCCCATAAAGCCAAGAAAACTCACAAATGTATAGAGCCCAATCAGAAAGTACTGTAAATCATCTACGCTGCCTCTGTAGTCATCCCAGGCAGGGAAATCTGAATTCCGAGTGGCAGCAGTGCTGTCCTCAGTGGCCATCGTCTTGTTATAATACTTCTCAAGCTCTGAATCCATACTATAGTCCTGCTTGGAGTAAGAAGACAATCGTTAGCAGCTGGGAGAAAAATTGCATGACTTGCTCCATGCAGAACAAAATGAAATTGTATTACTTTCCCCTAGTCCCATAAATAGAATGAGAGTTTTGAGGGTCTTTACCTGGTTCCAAGTATGATACAAATTCGGCAGTAATAATTACAGAAAACTTAAGTCTATTACCAGTTCCACACTGTGTTAACTTGTGCTAGTGTAGAAGACTATGTTTTTTCAAATTTATTTCAGAAATAACAAAAAGAAAACACAGTTTTAAAAAACCCCTTCAAGATGCATAGTTTATAATAGCACATACACTTATTCTCTAGTCAAGATGCCTAGTAAATGGCATTATCCTATAATATTACCTTAAATTTTCTCTTCTTTCTTATCAAGGCAAAACTGAAACATCACTATCCTGCATCCATACCACCCTCCTCCACCCCAGAGGCTCAAGGATCTTTATAGAATAAGAGGCAGAAAGAACATAACAGCCAGAATAAATTGGGTGGGAAGTGTAGGGTCATGGGATGCTGTTCTCATGGCAGGATAGGGCTGTTGCACTCTTGAACTCTTTGCACCTGTGATTGCCTACACAAGAGCTGCATAAAACTGGCCATGACCATACCCTGCCATGGAAGAAGGAGGAGCTCATGGGATCCCACACCTCCCCAAGGATCTATAGGCAGTTAATGGTTGGTAACATTACAGACATTTTCTTCAGTGGTGCAACCACTGGTAAGGTGCCCATGCTCCTGCAAACAAATATTCACTCATGCTTCTGAAAGCAAGCCTAAAAAACTCATTGTCACACACACACACACACACACACACACACACACACGTACACGCACACAAAGTAGGAGACTAGTTGAGAAAAAGGAATGAGATAAGCAGAAGTGGCATGGGGAGAAAGGAATGGAGTTGAATATGATTAAAATACATGTATGAAAATGCCATAATGAAAGTCAGTATTATATATAATTACTACACACTAATAAAAACATTTTCAAAAGTCACCTGTCCTAAAGGGTTCCCTGTCTACCAAGTTGGATGTGATCTCTTGGGAACTCCAATGATAGTGATTCTAGGGGTCTGACACTGCATGTTGCTGTCTGCTTCATACAGTAGTCATAATGCCTCCAGTCTACCTTATTCGTTTATAAGCAATGGACAGCACAGACTGCCCCTTACTCACCAGGGTATCCGTCAAAGCATGGGACACAGTAACTTCATCTCTGTGGGTGTTAAATAATTATGAGCAGATGAAGAATTCAAACAAATCTAGTCAGTCACCGAAATATGATCTAGTTTATGCAGTGTTCAAGTTTAAGCTCCTCAACTGTAGAGCATTATCCCAGGACCTAGATGTATACAATATTCATTCAGTAAATGCTTAACAAGCTAAAAGAAAATGATTCAGTGATCAGTTCTCAGTCTTTATCATGAATTAGGAGAATCACTAATTGGCCAGCAGTGCTGTTGGAGTATCTAAAAAACAAAGTTTGCCTGTCTCCTTTTTAATCTGAAAATTATGTATAAATATAAGCTTAAGAAAATTTCCCTGAGGTCATATTATATAAGGAAAATATTACATTTTAGAAGTAACTGTAGAAGTGAAATTAACATAACACCCCATAAGATTGTCATATCAAATGGAATTAATGTTGATCACAATGCATTACTTACTCACTCCTTCACCTCTACACAATAGAGATCATACGATACAGTTTGATGAAGCAATAAGTAGCCTCTCCTATATCAGCAAAGATAAAAAGAATCATTGTCTCTTTAAAACAAGTAAGCATTTTTTTTTTTTGAGACAGAGTCTCACTCTGTTGCTCAAGCTGGTCTCGAATTTGCCATCTCCTGATTCAGGTTCCCAAGTGTTGGGATTATAGTCATGCCACTATGCCCGGTAGCACTTCATGTTTTAAAACAGAATTTACTACCAAAAACCCCATACAGCAATAGTTAATTAACACTAGTGAATATATTGTTACAGAGTTCTTAGCATATATACATATACGTATCTAAGAAACATTTTTACTACATATCAACATATCTTTATCTACTTATTTCTGCATCTATTGCTTTTAACATAATTACTTTTGAAAGTAATTATAAACTCAATATTTCAATTAGTAATGGACATTTTTCTACATAAACTATTAAAAGATGTATATTTAAATGAATAATAAACAATGCTCCCTTCAATTTATAAGGGACCTATAGGTCTGGATTCAATAAGTTCCCAAATGAGGGAATGGTTTTGTGCATATATTTTAATTGTAAATAAGACTAATTCATTTTCATGCATAGCAAGTTTCACATAGGATAGTAAAGGCATTGGTGTAATTATGAGAAAAGTTGGAAGTTTCTACCAACTTCCACCACTGATTCCATGCTGCTGGAAGAGCTTTCAGAACCTAACAACAGCCCTACAAAGATAAATTAACCTAAAGGCCCCACATCATTTTTTTTTTCTCAGACCCTAACCAATAAGTTTCATTGATACTGACTCAAGGGAGAGAGGATAACTGGTACAGAAGTGATTCACATGGCTTCCTGAATCATCCCACTTATATGACTAGACAATGGCCTCCCAGCTACTCCTGCAGGCAGGTCAGCATGCCTCTAATGAAAGCAGCCTTCGACTGGTGCCTCAGTCTCAGTTCCCGAGTTCTGATGACCCCTGGGCTCAGTGTGGTTTGTTCATGATCTTATTTAAACTGAGGATGAGCTGGGTTATTTGTAACACTGTTCCCGTTTAACTGTACTTTCGACTCACTTTTTGGAATCAACCCTTTTCTCTTAACTTTGTGGTAGATCAGTAGTCACTGATTGGCTTGTTTTTTATATGACCAAAGCAAGCACGAGGAACAAATTAGGCAGAGGCTTCTACAATGGCTCTGTGCTTTCTTGCAAAATAACATCCAGAGTAAAATGGCTGTCATTTATTTTTTGAAGAAGAAGTAAAAGAAGAAAGAAATGTCGTTTATTTTTGGACAAAAAAATGGTTTTGAAGGTCTGGGAATATAGCTCAGTGGTACAGTGCTTGTCTAATATTTGTGAAGCCTTGGGTTCAATCTCTAGCACAGAAATGCACACACACACACACACACATACACAAAACATACACACATTCATGTATATAGTTTTAAATCTAAAATGAAGATTATCTCCAAAACATGTGGTCAAAGTTCTCAGTTAGATTCTAGTGAAGAAAGGAAAAAGGCATAGTTATTTTCATGGTAGTGAGAAGCTTAAGAGATTAGGTTAGACTCATTGGCTGTAAAGGAAATACTTGCTGCTAATCATTTTAGAAAGGTAGTTTGATGTTCAGCCTTAAAACAACATAAATGAATGACTCTGGGTATAGTCAGGATAGAGTATACCTATGTGTGTGTTTATCTATGTAAGCATGTGTTAAATTTTGTATATGTATATGCATCCACTGAAAATTGTTTTATTTAATGGCCAGAGATGAAATGTGGAGTTGTCTACATAGAAAATAGTGATAGTGTAACACTGTTGTATTTATTAAATAATAAAAAACTACGTATTCCTTAGCAGATGAAAGAAATAGGATCCTAAGTATTCACTGGACACTGGAGAAAAAATGAGGATAGTATTTCTTTCCTTTTTGAAATTACTTATCTATTTTAAGAAAGTAGATAACATAGAGGCCACTTTCATTAATGAATATCTAAGTCAGACTAGTTACTCCTTTGTTCATTAAATAACTATTGAACATCTAGCACACTAGGTTTTCTGCTTCTCATGTAGATGATTGCACCATCTACCCATCACAAAAGCACATACGCACACATAACAGCTAAAGTGCTCTGCACACAACCAGCCTTTGGAATCTTAATGCCCATGAAGGACTTCTCCCAACTAAATTACAGATATTGCAATGTGTGTGGGAGGACATGTTAATTGGTTTCTTTAAAACTGCCTCCTTGTAGTTAAGGAATAGTTTAACCACTAAACAAATACTGCCCCCAAAGCTATAAGTCATCCACTTTAAAGTTGAAACTGTAAGTTAGAGGAGTTACTTTGAAATTCAATTAATTAATTAAAAGATGTATTTGCTTACACTTCCCCTTTACATCCTTTTTAATGAAAAACACAAGCAGAAACAGAAATGCAAGTCAGCTCAGTAACGCTGCTTTTCAGCAAGTGCAATAATGAATTTTGAACAATTTTATGCAGCATAAATATTTTATATATGATGAAAATAATGTCATTAAAGACCCTAGATTCATTTTAAATTACTTTGATAATTATGAAAAAAGGTGCTTTAACAATGGCTTAAAGAAATATAATTTCAGTTAGAAATCTGTTTGAGAGCATGTGAGATTTTTCTTATTTCTAATTATTACTTACTATAGGTTTCTCTTCTGTTGTATCCAGTGATCTTTTCTCACCATCAGAATTTCCAGATGAACCACTGAACTTCAGTTCCCTTAGTGACATAGTGTGTGTGTGTGTGGGGGGGTGTTCATTAAACTGTGGCAACTTCATTAAAATAATGTCTTTATGACAATTTATTGTAATTTTCTTATAAGTCTAGCTGTATGTGACACAGACAAATGGACTCTGAATAAACCTTAAGAATTTTAAGAAAGAAAACAGTTCTTAAAAATAATAATAGGGAAACTACAGTGAACTGAGAATACTGAAAAACTGATTTATACATTTAAATAAGGTTTCTTTGTGAGTATAATTTTCTGCTTAATAAAAATGCATATCATTCTTGAGCAAAGGATGTCAATCATGCAAAAGAACCAAATATATGCAGGTTTCCCTCTAGCAATGATAAAATATCAACTATTGCCTAGTTTGCTGTCATCTCAATGGCAAGATTCCATGTTCCCACGTATCTCGTGGTGTGTTCTTCAAGTCAGAATCTGGAAAAAAAATTGGCCCTGGACAAGTAAACACAGAGCAGGCAGGAACCACCCTTCCTCCTCGGTTCTAACAGCACAGTTCCTCTCGTCTTCAGAAATCAGAAATTTAAAATTGCAACCAGGCTGCAAAATTCCACTGAAAGTCAGGCTGTTACAGTTGATAGCCTGGTTTCTATCTAACAAGATGTTCCTTTAGAAGCTAAACTAAAGGTCTGAAAACTTACGGATAGGAATTCCCTTTCCTGGAATTCGAGGTGTGTGGATGTATGTTTCTGTTCGCAGTTGTCCTAGGAAGCAACCTTGCAAACCTAACAGCACAGCTGTCTCTGGTCTCCGGCCAGCTGTGGGACAAGGAGGCAGTTGGACTTTCAGAGGGAGCGGGGTTGGTTGCACCTTGGGTGTCCGCAGGAACTGGACTAGAGCTGAAAACTGGCCTGAGCATCCCGGGGGTCGCTGGTCCCCAACCCCAGACTCTGGGCTGCGCTCCGGCTCTACCAGCTGGGGCCAGCTTTGCATCCATCCCTTCTCCCCATCCTCCAGACCCTCCTGTGGAAATCCTAGAGGGTCTGGTTGGTGCCTGCTCCACCCGGTGAATTGGGCACCTGAGGGACCTGCCCTGCAGCATTCAGCTGTGATACCCCCGCCCCCTTCCCTTCCCACCTGACTACTGCAGGTTCCTCCACCTGCGTCCCGGTTTTACCAGCCGCGCTGCCTCCCACGTCCCCACCCCGCCCTCTGCGAAGCCACAAGATGCTCCAGGACCCAGGACAGGGGCGCGGGCTCCCGGGGTCTCCCACCTAGCGCCCAGGGGACAGACTAGGCCTGGAGCTGGTACCTCGGGGCGCCCCCGCCGCTTGCAGTCGCCTGGGCTCTGGGGGACGCGGCCAAGCGCGGTCGCTTCTGCACCCGGCTGTGTGTGGCGGCGGCGACAGGAGCAGGACCTGGAGGCGGCGATGGGGAGGAGGGACTGGCAGCTGCGAGGGCTTTAGAGGCGCCTCAGGAACACGTGACAAGCCCAGGGACCCCAGAGACCCAGTTCCAAGGTCTCGCTCCCTGCCAACCTCTCCCGAACTGGGACTAGGGACATCCCAGTCCTTGTCCAGCTGTTTAGAGACCCCAGGAAATAGCTGGTGGGCTTCAGAATGTGGCGGTGCCACCCGGGCCTCTGGTTCCAGGAGCGAATTAACTTAGCTGGCTAACCGATGTTTGGCAGTCTAGTCCCATCTTGACTTTTGTGGGTGTGGGTGTTCCTCTAGGAGACTTCCTGAGAAAAAGCTTCAAGGTCCAGGGCTTCTCTTTGAGGAAAAAGCAAACCCCAAACAGAATATTTCTTTCTTGTTTCCTTTTGGATATGAAGTCTAGGCCGGAAAGCTGATCTGAACGAACCTGCAGGGAACTGGCACTGATGTGCCTTGCAGAATACTCAAGGGACTTGCTGGACTCTAAGGGGTAGTAGCTGTCCTGACAAGCAAGGGGCATGGAGCTGGGGAGTAAGGTTTAAAGGAATCAACCCTGCTCAAGAGTTTTCCATAACAAAAGGAAGACCTGAGCAGGGAGGTGGTTTTGTGTTTGGTTTTGTTGTTATTTAAAACAACAAAAATAAACAGGCAAATAAAACCCTGTCTTGTTGCACTGCAACTTGTTTTTTCATTCTTAATGTTTCCAGATCTCTATCCCTTTCTGTGCAGGGTTGCCTTAGTATATGGCTAATCATTAATTGGCAAATACCTTGGATTTCTCCTGCCCCATACACACATAGAAAGACATAGAGGGAGGGAGGGAGAGAGAGGAGAGAGAGAGGGGCCTGCATGTCTCTGGATGTCATGACAAATGGGTACTCCTTTAGCTATCTTGATGACAGTCACAGCATCATCCCCTGATTCAGGCAGTCCTATTGGACTGGCTGGCACTCCCATTGGACTGGCCAGCACTCTTTGTCTACTGAAGATGACTTCTATGCCTCGGGAGTCATGCAACTTGAGAGTCTAACTCTTAAGCTAGATTCGAGCTGCTACTCAGAGGTTAGAGAATTCATGTGCCTTTTTCTGCTGATTTAGAGCTCAGTCCTCAAGGGAACCATGAGCACAACATGCCTCAAGAAAATGCACTTATTACTTCATTCTAATATACTTCTTTTCTGAAACACTACATTCACCTCCATAGCTTAGCATATCAGGTAGTTGAGCAGATCCTTGGGATCCTGCAGTGGGGAGGGAAGAGCAGACATGCTAAGAAGGAACAGCTTTGAGCAAACTAGGGTTTGGTCCCAGCCTCTCTGAATTCTATTGTACAGTTCATGTACCACATATTTCCAAAGAAATCTCCATCCTCCATCCGTTGCATAGAATAACACATACCCTAAAACACATTTTGACTTCCAAAAGGCTTCATAATGAAACCCTTGGTGACTGTCTTCCAAAGAGCAGTCTACACTACATGATTTTGCCTATCCCATAATAAAAATATCAAATTATTTTTGTTTTTTCTTTTCCACAAATGAATTTTTCTCTTTTGATTATAGGAGCCTTTAGGTTGACAAAATGGTTGTTATTGGAATATTGTAAAGGCCTGTGTGCCATTAAGATGATTCTGGTTAACTTCCCCATTTTCCTTTCCAGGCCATCTATAATATGCAGGCCTCAAAAAATATAAAGTCAAAAAATAGGGTAAATAAAGTTCTTCCTGTGCAAGCATGAGAACCTAAGTTTGGATCCCAGCACCCACATTAAGGATGAGCATTCAGACATGTGCCTATAAGAAGGGGGTGAGGGAGTTCCTGAGGGGTCCAATGGCCAGGCAGAGTAGCTGAACTAGCACACTCCAGGTTCGATGGGAGAACCTATCTCAAAAATTAAAGTGGAGAACGATAAAGGAGGACCCAGAGTCTTACGGCCTGTACACACCAGTGCAAGCAAACACCCAGCCACACACATTCATATCCCCCCTCCAAAGACAGAGAGAGTCAGAATTCCTTCTCTAAATACATGTTCTGCTATACAATATTAAGGTTCTGTCTAACGATCAAATTATTAAGAATTCTTTGTTTTAATACTGGCCATTGCCCCTGCTCTTGGTTACCCACCAGAACTGGATGGTGAGACACTATTGCTAAAGACAGTACATATATGATCTGTAGAACAAACAAGGGAAAATCAAGCTGGTACTAATGTCAGAGCTTCATCTCCACTGGCTCATATTCATAGTGCTAGAAGGTATTCTGCATGCTACTGGGAGGGAAAAAATTTAAAAAAAAATTATCAGTCTTACTCAGCTGTGAATCCTGTGAACTACAGTAACAATTGGCCTGGCAAGATATGCCCACCAGTGCAATAGTGGCATAAATATTATGTGAGTAACCAATCAAACAGTCTTTAATTGAATTTAAGGTTGCTTCCTAGGATGAATTGATACGCTTAAGAACCTGAGACTAGATAGGTCACAGGATATATGAGAGATCCTAATACTAGTTTTCTACTAAATAGTTATTATATTAACCTGACTCTTAATGACTTATTGTTACACCCATAAATTAATGCATCTTACAACTCTCATCAGAGAAGTTTCCTTAACAGATAGTGATTAACACAGAAACCCACAACTGGGCAATGTGCAGCGAACAAGAGACTACAGAACGCTAAACTCTGAATAGGATACCTACATCAAACTTCTGCCTCCCAAGGTTCAGGGGTCATTGTGGAAGAGGAGGCAGAAAGATTGTAAAAGCCAGAGGTAGTGGATGAACACAAGGAACTGGGGTTTTCGAGACAGTTGGTCAGTCACTTATATGAACTCACAGCAACAGTAACAGCATGTATGAGTCCAATGTAAGCTCAGACCAGAAAAAAAATCCCAGCATACACATGAGAAAATGGGTAAGAAACTCCAACCCCATCTACTAAGGAAATTGGGGCAACAGATGGCTGCCGGGAGGGGTAGAGACAGTCTCAAGCATGGGATCTTTGGTATGTTAACTAGGCTCCAGTAGCTGGATCCACATTGAAGGACACTTGGAGACTCAAATTAGACTCTATAGGTCTTACATGTAGAGTCTACATGCATTAAATTGGGCAAGGGCAATGAGGGAAAATGTGGATGGGGAGGGTATTTAAATACCATCAAATTATATTGTATGAAAATCACAAAGAATTCAATTAAAGAAAAGAGTTCTTTGTTTTGAAGACTGTGCAGAATTGAAATTTTCAATGCTATGTTGCAAAGACAAGAATAAATACAAATAGTTTTTCCTTCAAATTTCCCCCCAAAGGATTCAAGAGTGACCACCATTACTTTTGTCACACACAATGCAGTAATTTTGTTTCTATTTTCTGGTGTAGTTTTCTGGCAGAGAACTCTCTGGGGGCAGAAACAGTAGAGTCTGCCTCTGCTGTTTGATTTTTTTTTAACTATTCAGTATAAAATGTTCACTTGGGAAATTAAGTTGGATTTTATTCATTTTACAAAATGAAATTGGCTAATTCCCAATTTTCATGATTTGATATAGGATATAAAAGAAAGCTTATCTGTAAGGTGAAAGTTATGGATCACTTGGGACTCCTAAGAGAAATTATTGAACAACCATGCCAGGGGTAACATTTTGATGAAGAACACATCTGCTGTTTTTGTGAAGGTTATTGCTCCAATTTAATAATAGCTACCATTTATGGAGGATGGTTACTAAAATACTTTGATACAATCTCAGATAATAAGTGATTCTGATATATTCATTTCAGTAGTGGTGGTAAGCAAACTAGGAAAATACTATTGTTTTAAT